AGTCTACAAGAACAACAACAACAAAGCCTTAATCCCACTACATTAATCCCACTACATGGGGTCGGCTACATGAATCATTTTTCTCCATTGCATCATATTTAGTGTCATATTTTCATTTAGTTCTAATAAATTAAGATCATTTTTTATACTGTAAGCCCAAGTCTTACTAGGTATACCTCTGTCTTTCTTAACATAAGTCGAATCGAAAACATATACTCTCCTAAACGGATCATTAAATGGTCGACGTTACTAAACCATCTAAGACGACTCTCTCTATTTTGTCCGTCAGTGGAGCTGCACCAAACCTATCATGGATATATTCATTTCTCATTTTGTTTCTAAGTGTAAAGTCACTCATCCACCTAATCATTCTCATCTCGGTCAACACTTAACTTAGTATTATGCTTCTCTTTTAAATTAAAGGCCTTTTAAAGGCCAACATTCAACATCATAGAGCATTGCAGGTCTCACCACCATCTTATGAAAATTTCCTTTCAGCTTAGGTTTTACTTTTCTATCAAACAAAAGGCCCGAAGATTTCCTCCACTTCAACCAACCAGCTTGAATTTTACTATTAGCATCCCCATCTATATCACATCCCCATCTATATCACACCCCATCTATATCACAATCGCTTTGAACAACAAACCCGAGATATCTAAATCGTTCATGCCTTTTAATAATTTGATCACCCAAAGATACACTTTTGTCACTAGAGTTACTACTACTAAAATTACATTTCATGTATTCAGTTTTACTTCTACTCAAATGAAGGCCTTTAGACTCCAATGTAGACCTCTCTAAGTCAAGTTTTTCTTGGGCTTTTTCGTTCGTCTTATCCATGAGAAGGATATCATCAGCAAACAACATACACCAAGGTACATCCTCCTGTAAATGTCTAGGAAGATCATCCATAACTAAAGCAAAAAGATATGGGCTTAAAGCCGATCCTTGATATAATCCAACAGAAATAGGAAAATATTTGGTCAATCCTCCTTCATTTCGAACACAAGTAACAACTTTAGTATACATATCCTTAATGACTTGTATATAAGTCATACAACACCTTTCTTCTCAAGAACTCTCCAAAGGATATCTCTTGAAGCCTTGTCGTAAACTTTTTCTAAATCAATAAAAATCAAATGTAGATCCTCCTTATTATCTCTGAACTTCTCCATCAAACCTCTCAATAAATGTATAGCTTCCATAGAAGACCTGTCCGACATAAATCCAAATTGATTATGAGAAATCTTTATGATACGTCTTATCCTATGTTTAGTTACCCTCTCCCATTATTGTAAAGTATGACTCATCAACTTAATTTCTCTATAATTTGCACACTCTTGTGCATCCTCTTTATTCTTAAAAATGGGGACCAAAATACTCTTACTTCACATCTCAAGCATCTTTTTAGTTTTTAAAATAATATTAAAGAGTTTAGTAAGCCAAGAAACTCCCAAATCTCTTAAATATTTTCACTTTTCAATTGGGATATCATCAGGCCCGACTGACTTTCCACCCTTGGTTTTCTTTAAAGTCTCCTCAACTTATTTTGTACTAATGCGATGGTAAAAATTAAACGTTTTATTATTATTAGCTATATTAAAATCACTAAGGTCGATCTTATTTCAGAAACTTCATTAAAAAGTTTATCAAAACAACTCATCTACCTGTGTTGAATATCTTTTTCTTAAAAAAAAATACTTTTTGATTTTTATTTTTAATACACTTGAGTTTATCTTTACTTTTATTTTTTCTTTGTTTGACTAGTTTATACATATATTTTTCACTTTTCTTAGTATCTAATCTTTTATAAAGATTACTAAAAGTAGAATTTTTAGCGTCACAGATTGTTCTTTTAAACTTCCTGCGGGCTGTTTGATATTTTTCTCATTTTTCTAAGCTTTTACATTTAAACCAATTTTTATAACATAATTTCTTATATTTTATATTTTCTTGCACATTATTATTCCACCACCAATAATTTTTATTTGTAAAAACTTTTTCTTTTGATTCTCCAAGTACATCTTTTCCTACCTTTTTATTAGTGTTTGTTACTTTATCTAGGGCTGTCAAAAAAGCTCGTTGTTCGCGAACAGCTCGTGTTCTGCTCGTTCGTTAAGTAAACGAGTCGAACACAAACAAATTTTTAAAGCTCGAATTATTAACGAGCCGAACACGAACAACTCTTTGTTCGCTCGTGTTCGGCTCGTTTTAGCTCGAAATAAAATAATTATATAACTATTTATATAACAATATATTTCATATATTATTTATATAATAATATATTATATATATTTATGTCTAAGTTTAAATCATAACACCTTATGTGACAATGTGGTTAGTGCATTCTTTTGTATATTTGATCCAGGTTGGAATCTCACACTTTACATTTATTTTTCTTAATTTAAGTTTAACGAGTTAATTTCGAGCCGAACACGAGCCGAACAAGAACACAAATATTTTAATTGAGTCGAACAGGAACACGCTGTTCACGAGCCGATTTCGAACACGAGCTATTTCAAATGAGCCGAACACGAGTCAAGCCTGAGCTCGCTCAAGCTCGGCTCGTTTACAGCCCTAACTTTATTTCACATAGCATTTGCGTTTTCATGAACTTCTCAAATTTTGAAATTTTGAATTTTACTCATAAAAATAATTTATTTGAGTCTTTTAAGTTCCTTCATCTAATTCTACGGTGATGAGTCATAGTATTCTTTATTTTATAATTTTTCATCTTAAAATCTAGAACTAATAATCAATGTTGGGTATTTAAATCCTAACTTGGAATGAGCTTATAATCTTTACAATCTCGACAATCTCTTCTTCTCATAAGAAAATAATTAATTTGTGTTTTTTTAGATTCATTCTTATAAGTAATAAAATACTCTCTTTTCTTGAATGAAATATTTGTAGTAACAAAATCATATGCTAAAGCAAAATCTAAAATGACTCTATCTTCTTTATCAAATTTTGAAGTTTTCTACCACTCTACCAACATGTCTATTTAAATCCCCTCCAATAAAAATTTTTTCTTCAAGAGGTATCATTTGTATTAAGTTTTCTAAGTCATTCCAGAATTTATCTTTAGACCCTATATCTAAACCTACTTGAGGAGCATAAGCATTTACAATATTAAAAATCTTAGTATCAATAATAATCTTAAGGGCTATAATTTTATCTCCAACTCTATTAATTTTTGCAATATTATCTTTCAAGCTCTTATGTTTAATAACACCTACACCATTTCTAGTGCGACTCTTACCAGAATACCAAAATTTAAAACCTAAGTTATCAATCTATTTAGCCTTTACTCCAACCCATTTAGTTTGTTGACTACATAAGATATTAATCTTTCAATGAATCATAATATCAACTAATTTCATTAATTTACCATTGAGAGTACCTATATTTCAAGATCTTATCCTAATATTAGTTTCATTTGTTTCATGAACTAACTTCTTTGCCCACATCTGTCTGAAATGTGGGAACCCTTGCTTATTTGACATTAAACCTGAGCGCCATCGTAGTGACACTTGCAAATTTTTCACTGCATTCAGGTCATATAGCACGTCGCTTCCAAGGGACACCTTAACACTTACACAATGCTCAAAATGACTCATGTCATGATTTTTTCGACAGGTTTTACACCGGCTTTCGACTACCTAATACAACCATCCACTTTTCACATCTGGGCTTGGGACCGATAATGACAGTGTTGCTTCATTGTAGTTCAGCTTTGGATTGGTCTTACCTCCTTTTTTTTACAGGACTGAACCAATTGTTATCGCAATGCTCTTGCTCCTCCTTTCAGCCGACAAGCGGCAAATCACATTTGTTTTTAGGTATTCACATCCATGCATTAAAAAAATAAGCCTTGACAGTTTGTTTCTAATCCAAGCAAGCTTCAATGGGTAAATGACCATCAAAATAAGGGATATCAATTTTCACCTTTCATTCACTATGAATACGATCATAGTTTGGGCGGATGCGATTGGGAATTTCCTTAAGTAACGTTATTCCATCTTTGATGAGTTTCTTGATCATCTTAGTTGTGATGTCCAGGACCGAAAATTGGATCAAATCGTGGAGTGAACCACTAATCTCGATTCCCCGGCGTTGGTATCACTAATCAAATGTATGGGTGCCAACATCTCCGTTGTGGTTGTTGGATTAGCGATACTTCCATTTCAGATGGATTGTAGCCCTTGCCTCACCTCTGTGACAAAGCGTTGTAATTCCATGGATACCTTTCATTCCAGGCATATTTGGGTGTCACACAAGGACTCCCAGCTATGATCGTCGTGGTATAATTGGGATTTGCTGACAACTGCCATTGGTGGCTCTGATACTAATCTGATGCAGCTTGATACCACAACTCGTTCCAAAGTAAATAGATATGGCAAAAAGGAAGAACATATACAGCAGAAACTGCTATAATAGAAATGATAGAAAAGGAAAATTCCTCCGTCCTTTACACCGAACGTTGGCCACTATATAAGGCTGCCACTACAACTATTTATAAGACTGGGACCACTCTAAAATATACCTATGTGATTCATTAGTACTATTAAAGCAGGGATTAAAACAAACTTAGGTATAGTTAACAACTTTATACCCAAAAGGAAAATAAATGCATCAAGGATATAATCTGCATCAAAAAGAGCAGTTAAAGTCAGTGTTGTAACTATCTTAAATTAAAATAGTGAAAAAAATATGACAAACGGAAATGCCACATGAAATTATTATTTTAACTAGATATTACATTGGTGATGGCAGCGAAATAAGCATGCCGTTAATTTTCCTAATTATATTACTGTTGTTTGTCATTCTTAGTTAATTCCGTACTTTGATTTGTCCTTTTCTTGCTTTCATTCAGCAATAGCTTTTGCCAAATACATTATTAGATATTTCTTCTAATGTTTTGGTCAGGGATAAGTGAATATTGAAATACTGATGATGGTTTATTGAGTTTGATTAACATTTGTTCTTTAAATCAGTTTGTAGGAAATGTATTTTTGAAAAAATCAATGATGAAGAGGCAGAATGCTGTCCTATATGTCAGATTGATCTGGGTTGTGTTCCTGAAGAGAAGCTAAGGTAATTTCCGTTTTGAAAATATGAATTTTTATATTTACTTGTGTTTTTTGACAAACTATTTCCTTACTAGATAATACATTCTTTGTTGCAAAGAGCCTCTTTTCTGTCAAATATGTCAACAAAAGTAGCATGTTCTTCTAGATTTATGCAATACATGATTGTTGCTATCTAATTTGGTTATACTGATGTTTGTAGAAGAATGCTGAACTTTGATTTTTTGTTTATGAAATCCTAATCTGAATATAAACATAAACGAACTGTTTTCACATTGTTTGTGATATGTTTTCTTATGTGTTTCTTGATTCTATTTACTTAATGTGTAGGCTTCCTGAAGTTATTTTTATTAAAGGGAAAAATATCAAATTAGTCCCATGGCTTTTTTCAGGGGTTTATTTTAGTCCCAAACTCTATGAAAGTGTCAATTTATTTTCTAGACTCTTTTTATATGGGTTGAAATAATTTCCATGGAGGACTATTTCGCCAATTTAAATCGGGGAGTAATTTGACACTTTTATAGACTCTGTTACTAAAATGACCCCATGTAGACAGTTTAGGCACTACTTTGACACTTGTTTATTAAAACATTATGCGCGTGACTTTGATAATTCTAACTTAAATGATTAAAATCTCACTGTGTTTGTTTTCATAATCGTTTTAGTACAGTTCATAATAATGTTTACTAAAGATGAGGTTTGATGGCTACAAATCCAAGCCATAGAAGTTCTAGTACATGATATTATACTTGAGTTAGAAAAGCTGGAAAATAAAAAATCATAATTAATATCTCTAAATCTATTTCTATGTTGTTGATATTGTCAAAAGTTTCTTGAGATTTGAATATAATTGTCAAGGTCAACTTATAATTTACTAGAGGTGCTATCAACCTCATGCACCAATTAGAAGTCTAATGCTGAGTGTTTATTATATTTATGTAGCATGGGGTTTATATTTTTGAAGGCCTCCTTAAGCATTTGGTGTCATCATTTTCCAGCCACTTGCTTCAGCTTTCCTAAATATTTTAATGCTTTAAAGTTATGTTTGATGGCTAATGCACTTTTATTACTTATTACATAGAGTATAGAATAATGTTGCTTTACTATTTTCTAAAAGATAAAAATAAATGTTAGATAGGTTGAATTTTTGTAGTAATTTTAGGGCTTCTCAGTGATAAAAAATAAAAAAATTATTTCGAAATATATTAGATCTTTTCTGCATAATCATAAGAGTGCTTGAGAATTTCCCACCAATATAGGTTTATGCATAAGATTGTGCCCTTTTGGCAAATGTTAATTCATACTTTTAGTTCATGATAAGAAAATGATCTCAAGTGAATGTTATTTTGTTGACTTGTGGGTATTATGGTGGACTGTAATTATACTGGAGAGAATGCCCCATTGTAGCCAAATATTGTCACAATTCTAGTGAAGGTTGAAGGTTGGCCCCAAAAAAATGATTAGGAGATGTAAACACTTAATTACCACCAAAATCTAACTTCTTTACAAAACCAGAACCGATCTAAAAAGTTAATTTATTTGCATATGTCGTGGTCAGAGTATTAGAAATTTGATGAGAGCAAAGCATATTGGGGTTTGTGAATTTTTATATTTGGGTTGGAATTTGACAAATGGGTCTGAAGTTACTATATTTGAACAAGGTGATTTTCTTAAATTTTTTGCGCATGATGATTTACACTAAATATTTCACTTTAATGCACATAAACTATATAAAACTAATGGCGCATCATTTTAGTTTGCGGAGCCAGACTTTTTAACTACAAAGAATACACATTGCATGGACTCAAGGTCCATTTGTGGCAACTGTATCTGTTTATAAAAGTAACTAGTGTTATTTTGGGAAAATCAACTTCTTTGAAAGTTTTGTGTGGATTATATTTTTTTCTGTATGAAAATTTTGACAATTATTTTAAAAAACACTAAGAACAAAGAGGCCAAACGAATGTATGGCAGCAGTATGAAAAAGAAAGATGTGAAAAAGATACCCAAACAGACCCTTAGTTATGGGTTATTTCATTAAGGATATTTTAAAAAATTTATTTTATTTGCTACCTCTTTAGATTTTTCTTTATAAAGAGGGGATGTCTTTTTTATGTTATATCAGAGAAAATAATGTTGTAATTTTTCATAAGCAAACCATATTTAAATTTATATTTAATTAGAAGATTAAAAAAATCCACTTTTCCTTAGAGAACAATGAGTACAATGATGTAATTAAAATTATATTAAATTATTTTCTTGTCTATTATAAGTAGCCTGATTTTCTTTGGAGTAAATCTTAATTTGAGCCATAAAAACTTTCAAAAAAGAAACATGAAGCAAATTTGCTAGGTCTATGATAGAATGATATTGAGATAGACATTAAATTTCCAAAAGCTTTACGTGATATGACGTAGCCGGGTGTTGTGAAAATTATCCTCTAACATCTGTGTTCTTAAGAGAAGTTAACGCGGTGAATTTTTTTTCTCCCCTAAATTTTTTGATGAAATAGATGAAAACTCTACATATCTTTATATTGGTAGTCGCTTTTATTTTTTAAAATTCATTTATGTACCCATGTGTACTAGCTTTGAACTCATGATTTTATGGTTGTGGACAAAGCTCTCAACCACTAGGTGAAACAGGCTGAACAAACATAATGTTATACATTTTACACCTAAGCTTGTCAACGAAGTTATGCTTGAGTTTTGAAAATAAAAGTTTTAATATGTGTTCATTTTCATTGGAATGCTTCTGTTTTTTTTGGCTTTATGCTATTAACATTTTGATCTTCACTTAAACACATGTATGTTGACCTCATTTTAGTGAGGTCTTAGTCTTCTACTCTTAGAATCTAGGATCTAGCTTTAGGAGTTCTTATTGACAATCCTAGCGGACTAGCAATGGAGCCCACCTCCCGTAGAACTTCAAGCCACTTCTTGACTCATTTTTGTGAAGAACTCGCATGAGTGGTTCCGAGCACTCAACTTCTAGTTGTAAGGGCTAAGGACCAACATGTAGAGGGCCCGAAATTGAGTTCCTATAGGATCAACAGCCTTAGGTGAACCCTTTGTGACTCGATTACTCGCGAACGCC